ATAATAATAAGATGATAATAATATATTAATAATAGTAGTAATAGTAATAATAATGATATTAATAATAATAAAAATTATAACAATAATAATATTCAAAACAGTGCATATATGCATTTATTAAAATAAAATGTATCTTTAAAATATATCGCAAAATTATAACCTTTTGTATTGGAATGATTTATTAAAATAAATAAAATATTTTGATAAAATGCATAAAATATGTGAAATGACGACAAATTACAAAATAAATTTAAAAATATTCAAATTTCTTTCATTTTTTCCTCTCAAATTTTAACAGATATACTTTATTTCAGGCAAAACTATAACAAGACTGTACAACATGGCTGTATTCGAAAAGTATTTCTACCACTTCATGATCCATTCTGCACATTACTTATACCAGTCCTTACCAATCTTATTCAATGTTCTTGTTTTCAGAGTCCACTTCTACAACAGGTATGTAACATAATGAATTATATTACGGTAATTCTTACTGTATGTGAATTTAGACAACAAATAATTGGATTATTTTAAAAAATATTTAACTAAGTTATTAATATGAACCTATCGGTTTAGAATTTCTTTATTTGAAACGTATTTAATTCAAAGGCAGAATGAATCAATTATATTACAAATTTCACAAACATTTATCAATGCTTGGTGTTGTGTCCTTATAAATGTGTAAAACCGAAAGGTCATATTTCTAGTAGGATATTGTGATTTATGTACAGGATGATTTGATATAATTTGAATTAGATTTGAAGCCATGTGACGCTGATTTTGGAACGAAAGTACGCAAAGAAGGACCGAAAATAGTTGTGCCGATGTGTTTAAGAACTGTCGGAAAGTTAAATAAGCTTTTGGATGGTGAATACCATTTCGGTATCTTTGGTCCAGCAAAGTATAAGAAAGTGGTATGCTAATGATATTAACTAATTTTATGAACCTGGAAGAATTCTTTTTAGTTTTTAATTAATCTAGCATATTGAATAATAATGAAAAAAATGTTAACTATTTTT